CAATGGGGCACGCTGGGGCACAGGGCGGCCCCCCCAGCCCCACATCCCCTGCCTGACAGCAGGGCCGCCCCCCCATCCACCGGGCTCGCTCCTGCACCAACAGGCATCGTCACGAAGGGCTCCTCCGAGCAGTACGACTACTACGTGACGTCCTACCGCGTCTCCTCCAGCCGCGACGGGAAGAACTGGAGACCATACAGAGGCAGCGGGGGCCAGGAGGACAAGGTGGGCATGGGGGAGGACAACAGGGGGGCTGCAGACCCCCTGCCTGCGGATGTTCGACCGTTGGCACCCTCTCTTCGCCCTCTCCGGCAGGTCTTTGAAGGAAACGCTGACAGCCATGGGGAGGTCTCCAACGCCTTCATCCCCCCCATCGTCGCCCGCTACATCCGTGTCACGCCCCAAAGCTGGCACCAGCGCATGGCCTTGAAGGTGGCCCTGGTGGGCTGCCAGCCGGCACGGGCCCGTGTGCCCCGGCCCTATGGTGAGCCCCTCCACGTCCCAAACGTCCTCCGGGGATCTCCATCTCCCCCTGCACCTGATGGTGGTCCCACACTCATGGTCCCCGCTCTGCCCCACAGTGCCCAGCATCCCCAGGGAGGTCCCCGTCCCCACCAGCCGCCCAGCCAGCCGCACACCCATCCCCGGCATCGCCCTGGACCCAGAGAAGGCAGGTGGGTGCCATGGGGCAGCTGTCCTGGGGGCGCAGCATCGTCGTGTGGGTGCTCCAGGCACCAACGGACCCATCAGGGCTTTAAGATCCGGCCCCCGCAGCCTGTGACAACACATTGATATTCCACCTCTGCCAGCCCCAGGTGGGCTCCTGGCACCCATGGGTGCCGAGGGGTGGGATGGGGCACCCAGGGGCTGATGCTGCCCTCCCTCTCCAGGCTCTGCGCTGCTGGTGATGCTGCTCATCGGCGGCTCCGTGCTCCTCTGCTCCAGCCTCCTGCTGCTGGCTTTCCTCTGCCGCAGGAAGAGGTGGGTCCCATCCTGCCCCCG